ACAGAGGCCGCGTGATCCTAAACCTTAAGCCCCCGAACCCCCAATGTACCCTTGTTTATAGGGCTCCGAAGTATGGGCCCGTAGTACATAGAGCGTATATAAGGGTTGTATGACAAGGGACGCAACTTAAGTTCCCATACTTCGCAACCCTAGATTCACGCTCTGCGATTCCAGGTTTCCGAGATGCCGGAGATTCGGGAAGCAGGTGTCGAGAAGGCAGCCGTTTCCAGCGACCGAAGGGAGCTGGGGGAGCACGATCCAGATATCGACGAACAGCGGCTGCGGCGCAGTTCAGAGTTGTTGTGTGTAGGGTTTACCTTACAAGAACTTTTTTGTGGTTTACCTCAGAATCCTATCCAGGGTTTTGCAGTGCTAAGCTACAAACAAACTGGGTTTTGGGGTTTTTCAGGTAACCCTAAACCCTAAACCCTAAACCCTAAACCCTAAACCCTATAGGGCCTAGTGTTGAGTCCGTGGGCCACCGGTGGCAGCACCGAAGCCCTTGGTTAAGCCTCTACCGACACTCAATCCCTAGATGTTGGGATGTTCCCTCCTTATTGAAGCACGGTTTATAGTACTGTTTTTGGTGAGTGTACATAAGGTTCCTTTTTTGAAACATTGGTGAGTGTATGCAGTATGTGTCCTTTTGTGGGTACAAGAAATATAAACCCTCCTTCTTATACTAAGGGTCCATGTACCTAAATTTGGAATACTTAAGCCGTAAAGTACTCCCTACATACGGACTCTGGGGCAAAAGTATATAAGAAGGTATATGTACCCGTGGGGTAATACCACCAGTCCTTAGTACCAGTTTTAGGGTTTCAGGGTTTAGGGTTTAGGGTTTAGGGTTTAGGGTTTAGGGTTTAGGGTTTAGGGTTTAGGGTTTAGGGTTTAGGGTTTAGGGTTTAGGGTTTAGGGTTTAGGGTTTAGGGTTTAGGGTTTAGGGTTTAGGGTTTAGGGTTTAGGACTGGTAGGGGAATGTAGTACCTCCGATTATGATCCCTTTTCAAGGACTGTTAGTATAAGGGAGAAAACCTCAATCCCTAAATCCTTAACTCGGTGCGCCTTTGGGATATGGGCAGTTCTCAGATTTTGTTTTTTTATCCCGGGGGGGGAGGGGGGGGGGGTTGGGGTTTATGGTGTAGGTTTTGCGTCATGTATGTATTTGTTTTATTTATGTTTGTTGGGGGTATTGAAGTAAAACCCAGCCTTCTTAAGGATGAATCCTTGTGCTGCTGCAGGAAAATGGCTTCAGAGTTGAGGGATGTTTAGGGTACATGTTCGCCTGTGTGTTGCATTTCCCGTTCAGCCCGACTGCATCAACATGCAACTCCTGCACCAACACGTTGCTGCGCCCGAGCAGAAGCAAAAGCCACAGAGCCAAGCTATGGATGAGCGAGCATGTGCACGAAAACACAAGCAAAGGGTTTGGTTCTTGGGACGTTTCCTCTTACACGAACAGTCCTTGATAGGGATTATAGAGTAAGAGGCATGGCAGGCCCTTCTGTATAGGAACACCCCCCCCCCCCCCATTCGAATCCCCGCAGGGACTGTTAGTATAAGGGGTAACATCCCACAGAACATCCTAAGCTTGAGGGCACATCCCCCACCCTGTCCTGTTGAACACCCACTTACGGACCCTGGGCCCTTGACAAAAACAGTCGGGTGCACCCTAACCCTAAGGGTCCATGCACTCATATAGTACATACTTGGGCTTCAAAGGGGTTCGTACATAGTAGCTTTAGAACCCAAGTATAACCCCCCCCCCCCCCCCATTCGAATCCCCGCAGGGACTGTTAGTATAAGGGGTAACATCCCACAGAACATCCTAAGCTTGAGGGCACATCCCCCACCCTGTCCTGTTGAACACCCACTTACGGACCCTGGGCCCTTGACAAAAACAGTCGGGTGCACCCTAACCCTAAGGGTCCATGCACTCATATAGTACATACTTGGGCTTCAAAGGGGTTCGTACATAGTAGCTTTAGAACCCAAGTATATACTGTACAGGTACATGGATCCTTAGGGTAACCCTCAAGCCTAGACCCTACACCCCCCTAACCCTGTATTATAAACCCTTGTCAAATAGCGGGAGTCAGGTTCAGTCACCTTCAAGAAGGTTTCAAGGTGCAAGTGGAGAAGGCTGAGCTTCTGCAAAGCAGATTGCGCAACTTGCCCGAGCTTCTGGAGAGTAGGGTTTAGGGTTTCGGGCTTAGGGTTTAGGATTTGGGGGGGTCCAGGGGTTTGGGGTTTGGGGTTTCGGGTTCAGTTGTTAGGTTTGGGGGTTTGGACTGTTTGTACAGGATGCAAGGTGTTCTTGCACACACCTTTGCTTTGGCCATACCTAAACCCTAAACCCTAAACCCTAAACCCTAAACCCTAAACCCTAGACCATGAATTTCTGCCCGAGCCCGACCAGGCGGGTGTCTGTCACTGCACAGCGCACTGGTCGTTGCACCAGTGGCTGGTTCACAGGGCTTAGGGTTTAGGGTTTAGGGTTTAGGGTTTAGGGTTTAGGGTTTAGGGTTTAGGGTTAGGGTTTAGGGTTTAGGGTTTAGGAAAACCCTACTTGGAGGCCCTTTCTGACTTAGTAAGTGGGGTTGGTGAGGTGGGTTATGGGGGTTACAATGGGCATATACCAAGCCCAAAGCGCTAACAACCTGAAAGCCGAAACCCCAAACCCCAAACCTTAAAGCTTAAACCCCAAACCCCAAACCCCAAACCCCAAACCCCAAACCCCAAACCCCAAACCCCAAACCCCAAACCCCAATCCCCAAACCCTAAACCCTGAACCCTGAACCCTGAACCCTAAACCCTAAACCCTAAACCCTAAACCCTGAACCCCAACTCCAAAGCCTTCAATGCCCAGGCAGCGCTCTCCAATACCTGAGTCGGGCCAAGGACGGTGGCGAAGCCGATGCCTTTCACTCCAAGCTCTTCCTTGTTTAGCGGTTGGGGGGTTTAGGGTTTAGGGTTTAGGGTTTGGGGTTTAGGGTTTGGGGTTTGGGGTTTAGGATTTGGGGTTTGGGGTTTAGAGTTTAGGGTTTAGGGGTTTGGGTTTTGGGGGTTTGGGGTTTAGGGGTTGCGGCCTTTTGGGTTGAGGGTTTAGGGTTTATAGGGTTCAGTCCCTCAGCCTGTACGGTTATTGGGTAGCTTTTGGGAGGTCACTCAGGTTTCCAGATCCTCCCAGGTCTCTATACGCCAGGTCTTCCCCAGACAACACAGCTAGCAGGTGGTTGTTTGTTGACCTTCACGTGCTCGTGCCTTTTGGAGCGTGCAAATACCCTTCAGAACCCTAAACCCTAAACCCATGTGCATCTTTCCTACACTGCGTTCGGATCCTATGTGCCAAACTCAGCTTGAGAAATTGGAGTTCGGGGTAGTATAAGGCTTGCGAAGTCCGCAGGGAAGAGCTCAGCACAAAGTGTCTGAGAAGAGATCCGCGATGTGGCCAGTTCTCCCTAAAACCCCTGAACCCCCTAAACCCCCCTGAACCCCTGAACCCCCTGAACCCCCTAACTCCCTAAACCCCTAAACCCCCGAAACCCAGCTAACCCCTCTAAATCTCCTCAGCCACCTAAACCCTAGACCGTAGACCTTAAACCCAAGCCCTGTTGGATCCCTTGTGCCTTACGGGCCCTGATGTAATAGTCTTCATGTTAGGGGCCCTTTTCCTTTCCAAACGAGCCACCATTACTGTAGGGGAAGCCTCAGGCCTAAACTATGCTAACCACCGCTGCTGTAGGGCCTGTAGGGGAAGCCTAACCCCCCAAACCCCAAGCCCTAAACCCCTAAAGCCGCAACCCTAAGCCCTAAACCCCTAAGTTGCTTTAGGGGAAGCCCCAAACCCCCAACCCTCAGCCCGAAACCCCTAAAGCCGAAACCATGCTTTAGGGAAGCTGAGCCGTGTCTCTGTAGGTTGATCGAAATGGTCAGCCCCGTCGCTGGAAATCAGGGCTGTGCTTGCCCCTACACCCTAAACCCTAAGGCCCTAAACCCTAACCCCTAACCTTAATCCCTTAACCCTAAACCTTGCCATAGATCCGAGACCCTAGACCCTAAACCCTGGCATCTCCAAAGGGATGTGGGTATAGGAGGTAGATATTCCAAGAGCCTAATTCAGTACTACCTGGCTTGGGAGTGGACGGTGTAAGGCTTACTTCAAGGATCAGGGGACTTAGACAGTGGGGTTAGAAGTAAGGAAAGTATACTTACAACTGCTTTTAACCCCAATTAGGATACTTATAACCCTACACCCTAAACCCTAAGCCCTAAGCCCTAAACCCTAAACCCTAAACTAAGTGCCCCGATCCTCCAAGTAGGGTTTAAGGGTAGGAGCCTCGGCCACGTGGTGCGGGCTGCTCTACTTTGTCTCCGTGCCTCTCTGCCAGCCCCTCTGTCTCTGTACACCCTAAACCCTAAACCCTAAACCCTAAACCCTAAACCCTAAACCATCGGAGTTTGGCTCGAGCCGGGAGTTTCCAACTCCCCCCGCCCAAGTGTCTGCATGGCACCTGGGAGCCGACTTAAGGTTCTATAGGAGCCAGTTGCAAGGGTTTAGGGTTTAGGGTTTAGCGTTTAGGGTTAAGGTTTAGGGTTTGGGGTTCAAACCCAGGGTTTAGGGTTTAGGGTTTAGGGTGTTGGAATGTGCTGGTGTTTGAGGAGTCTAGCGTTCAGGGTGAAGGGTTTGGGTTGAGGGGTTTGGGGTTTAGGGTTGAGGGTGTCTCCATTGAGGGGGCGCACGGCTCCTAAAAGCACCCAGGTGCGTGCGCGCCCCGGCTTGCGCATTCCCAGCCCCACTTGCGAAGGTTTCGGGATGTGGGGTTTGGAGCTTCGAGGGTATAGGGCTTTAAGGTTTTTCTAGTTAGGGCCAGGCCTTCTGGTAAATCTACTCACAACTAGGGCCTTGCTGACATGATCTTTGACCGCTGCAGCTTCCTCAAACAGGTCGCAGACCGTACCGTCATTTCCATACCGGCCCTACAAGCCCCTTCAGCCCTATGCTGCTTGCTTTCTGCGCCGCCTTGTGCTTCTGGGGAGCTGCGGCTGCGTATGCGGCAGCGGAGCCAGCTTTCCATTCCTTGCTTCAGATTCAAAGCGAGCCTTTGTCATAGGTTGGGTAACATTTTGCATTGTTAAGGGTACTTAAACCCAACAAGGAGTAGAAATGTAAGTTTTAAATGCTATTCCCAACCCTGAATCAGGAGCTGGCGCCTCTCATGCCAGTGCCCCAACGAGATTGCTCTGCATTGGCAGGGGACGACTGTAGCTTTAAAGCCGAAGGTGGGGCCGAATTCAACTGCACGGTTGAGCATGCGTCGCGCCTCATGTATGAGACGTGGGTGCCGCCTGGAGCTTCCGTCCTACATGTTGGGGCACGCTATGGTCAGACCTCATGCCTGCTCTCAAGAGTCTTGACGGACCAGAACTCCAAGCTCGTCTCTGTCGAGGCCCCTGACTGAGCGTACTTGGAAGCTTTTTGACTTAGTAAGTAAGGTTAGTTAGTAGGGTGGGGTTCTGGGGACTATAGGGCTTCCACATAATACCAAGTAGACATCTTACCAAGTCAAAAAAGCTTCTGAGTACATGCTAAGCAGCAACCGAGCTTAGGCCGTTTTGGGGCAGCGTTACGTCCGAAACGTGTGTGGGCTTAGTGATGACTACTATTTGCCTAAGCCCCCCCCCCCCCGAAAATACAAGATAATGATCCCTATATTGCCTTACAACGAAGAATGTTCTCGACTATTGTCATGTTTTCAGGGGTGTTCTGAAGCAAATTGGGTTTAGGGTTTAGCCGTTTAGCGTTTCGGGTCCCAGGGTTTGGTGAGTGAGGCTGACCCCAGTGTGTGGGATGTTCTGCAAGAGAACTTGGAGGAGCACAACTGCCGAAGCGAGGCAGGAGCACTGCGAATATAGTTTAGGGTATACGGCTGAGGCTTCTAATAAGAAATCTGCCTTTTTCAGCCAGGGTTTCGAAATTTCTTAAAACCCCAAATGGAAATAAGAAAGTTAGGTTTGAACCAGACCCTGAAATATATTTCTTATTCGAGGGTTGATTAGAGGTGAGTATAGGGACAGAGTTGGGGAACATGTAACTCACCAGTGTAGAGCTTTTCGGTGTGCTCTAAGCTCTAAACCCTAAACCCTAAACCCTAAACCCTACCCTAAACCCTAAACCCTAAACCCTAAACCCTAAACGCGGGGAAGAGGCCCGGCACAAAAAGTCACCTTTTTTGGGCCTTTCCGGCCTGAAACACCTCAAAAAAGGTGACTTTTTGTGCCGGGCCTCTTCCCCTAAGCCCTAAGCCCTGAGCCCTGAGCCCTGAGCCCTAAGCCCTGAGCCCTGAGCCCTTAAAGGCTTCCCCGCAAGAGCCCGGCATCCCCGCAAGAGCCCGGCACAAAAAGTCACCTTTTTGGGGCCTTTCCGGCCCCAAACACCTCAAAAAAGGTGACTTTTTGTGCCGGGCCTCTTCCCCGCAAGAGCCCGGCACAAAAAGTCACCTTTTTTGGGCCTTTCCGGCCCCAAGCACCTCAAAAAAGGTGACTTTTTGTGCCGGGCCTCTTCCCCGCAAGAGCACCTTTTTTGGGCCTTTCCGGCCTGAAACACCTCAAAAAAGGTGACTTTTTGTGCCGGGCCTCTTCCCCGCAAGAGCCCGGCACAAAAAGTCACCTTTTTTGCGCCTTTCCGGCCTGAAACACCTCAAAAAAGGTGACTTTTTGTGGTGGGCCTCTTCCCCGCAAGAGCCCGGCACAAAAAGTCACCTTTTTTGGGCCTTTCCGGCCCCAAGCACCTCAAAAAACGTGACTTTTTGTGCCGGGCCTCTTCCCCACAAGAGCCCGGCACAAAAAGTCACCTTTTTTGGGCCTTTCCGGCCTGAAACACCTCAAAAAAGGAGACTTTTTGTGCCGGGCCTCTTCCCCACAAGAGCCCGGCACAAAAAGTCACCTTTTTTGGGCCTTTCCGGCCTGAAACACCTCAAAAAAGGTGACTTTTTGTGCCGGGCCTCTTCCCCACAAGAGCCCGGCACAAAAAGTCACCTTTTTTGGGCCTTTCCGGCCCCAAGCACCTCAAAAAAGGTGACTTTTTGTGCCGGGCCTCTTCCCCGCAAGAGCCCGGCACAAAAAGTCACCTTTTTTGGGCCTTTCCGGCCTGAAACACCTCAAAAAAGGTGACTTTTTGTGCCGGGCCTCTTCCCCAAGCAAGAGCCCGGCACACCTCACCTTTTTTGGGCCTTTCCGCCCCAAGCACCTCAAAAAAGGTGACTTTTTGTGCCGGGCCTCTTCCCCGCAAGAGCCCGGCACAAAAAGTCACCTTTTTTGGGCCTTTCCGGCCTGAAACACCTCAAAAAAGGTGACCCACCTTTTTTGGGCCTTTCCGGCCTGAAACACCTCAAAAAAGGTGACTTTTTGTGCCGGGCCTCTTCCCCGCAAGAGCCCGGCACAAAAAGTCACCTTTTTTGGGCCTTTCCGGCCCCAAGCACCTCAAAAAAGGTGACTTTTGTGCCGGGCCTCTTCCCCGCATGGGCCCGGCACAAAAAGTCACCTTCCGGCCTCAAACACCTCAAAAAAGGTGACTTTTTGTGCCGGGCCTCTTCCCCGCAAGAGCCCGGCACAAAAAGTCACCTTTTTTGGGCCTTTCCGGCCTGAAACACCTCAAAAAAGGTGACTTTTTGTGCCGGGCCTCTTCCCCGCAAGAGCCCGGCACAAAAAGTCACCTTTTTTGGGCCTTTCCGGCCCCAAGCACCTCAAAAAAGTTGACTTTTTGTGCCGGGCCTCTTCCCCGCATGAGCCCGGCACAAGGTGACTTCCGGCCTCAAACACCTCAAAAAAGGTGACTTTTCGTGCCGGGCCTCTTCCCCGCAAGAGCCCGGCACAAAAAGTCACCTTTTTTGGGCCTTTCCGGCCTGAAACACCTCAAAAAAGGTGACTTTTTGTGCCGGGCCTCTTCCCCGCAAGAGCCCGGCACAAAAAGTCACCTTTTTTGGGCCTTTCCGGCCCCAAGCACCTCAAAAAAGGTGACTTTTTGTGCCGGGCCTCTTCCCAGAGGCTTTAGTTTGAGACTACGGGGCTTAAGGGATTAGAGGGTTTGAGGCTTGCAGTTTCTTGGGGTCTTGGTAAATATGACAGAGAACGTTACTTAATACTTCCTCGGCGGATTTTTTTGGGGCGAGCCCGCGAGGCCCTGGATTTTAAAATGTGTGGCCGGTCCAGGTCCAGATTTCTTAATTAATAAAATTTCTTAACACACTCCTGGGCCGTAGGGTATAGCTTCAAACATGCTTACTATTCTAAGGGTGCGAAATATTTGCCCACGCTGTAGAGAACTGACCAATTACTTCATCAGCACAGAGCAGTGGATCCTCAGCCGAGCAAGGGCCTAAACCCTCAACCCTAAACCCTCAACCCTCACCCCTAAGCCCTACTTAATCCCGAAGCCCTAAGCTCTAAGCCCTAAGCCCTACTGAAGCCCTCAACCCTCAAGCGTGCTGCGAGGTGGTACATGGTGTGCTTGGGCCTCGCAGCCTCAAGATCATCACGCCCGACTGGGCAAAGAAAGACGGCATCAACGGCTATGGGGACCTGGCCTCTTAGAAATACCTGGGACTATTATTTATTATGTTTGTTTTTTAAGTTCTGAGGTGCTATATATATATATACATATATATATATATATGTAGCCTATATAGCTCCGAAGAAACAGCCCAACATGTTAGATATGTTTAGAATTTTGGTGTACTATCTTTTTCCGATGAAACACCCGAAAATGAGCATGTTTGCTCGGGCTCCAAGTTCAGCCGAGGCCGTGGATGTCGATGACCCGAGGCCAGGTTTGATCTCGCCGGCCCATACGGTTCCTCAGCTTGGTAGCCCAGTGGTACCCTTTTCCCTTTTTTTCTGTTTCTGGTTTCCCTTGTAAAATAACCAACCCCAAAAAGGGCGCCCAAATCATAACATGGTTACTGGGCTACCAAGTCAGTGGCTGAGTACACTTTACACTTTTCGGGATAGGGTTTAGGGTTTCGGGTTTAGGTTTTTTTCTTCTGGGATACTAGAATCCCCTTTTGAACTGAACGTGCGCACGTTTTTTGGGGGAGCTTATATGAACTCAGCAACTATAAGGTTCAGTCCCTTGGCGCGAGCTTCGACACTCTGGCGATCGACTGCCAGGGTTGCTTTGCCACCTTCCTGGATGACAACCCCGTGCTGCGGCAGACGCTCTCCCTGATCATCGTGGAGGTTTTACTAGCTGAATGAGTACACTTTTACACTTTCTGGGGATACTGTATTCTCCTATGAAACCGAAAGTGCACACTGTTTTGGCTTTTGATCTCAGCAACTACTGGCTGGTTCTTAGTAGGGAATGAGGGAATGAGGTACCCTTTTTACTCCCTTAAAGCGGTATGTAAAAGGCCCTCATGCCTGCATTCCCTACCTAAGAACCAGGGGGACTCAGAGGTTCACCAGTGGTCTTCGGAGCCGAGCACAGTGGAGAAACTGCTCCAGGAAGCTCAGGAGCCCAGTTAGGTGAACTTTACACTTTTCGGGTATACTAAACCCCTACTAAAAGGAAAGTTTACCCTAAACCCTAAACCCTAAACCCTAAACCCTAAACCCTAAACCCTAAACCCTAAACTGTTTGGGCCAGGGTATTGGGCAACTAAGGAAGGCTGGGAGTTGAAGCAGAAAGTGATGAGGCAGCACGTGCTGTGCAAGGGCCCCTGCGTCAGCCAGTGCGATCCTGGCTGGGCTGAGCAGCACGCGCGACAGTACTACGGAGACGAGCTTCTTGGTAGCTCTGGGTTCCCCAAAAAACCCCAAGAACAGAACCGAATCCCCTTAAGGGGACCCCCTTATAAAGTAACCCTAAACCCTAAACCCTAAACCCTAAACCCTAAGCTCCGATTCCAAGATGGTTACTGGGCGACTAAGGTTTTCAGGATGGTGGGGCAGGGGTCCTTCGACCGCAGACGGCCAAACGGGAAGTCAAAGCCTTACAGCGGAACACCCGCAGGAATCTTGGTAGCTGAGTGAGTACACTTTACAAGATAGGGTTTAGGGTTTGGGGTTTAGGGTTTAGGGTTTAGGGTTTAGGGTTCAGGGTGTAGGGTTTAGGGTTTAGGGTTTAGGGTTCACTTTTTGGGATACTATAACCCCCTATACCACCGAAAGTGTACACTTTTTGGGGGGCTTATGAACCCAGCAGCCAAGTGAATGAATTGAACCATGAATCTTGGTAGCCCAGTGCTACCCTTTTCCCTTGGTTCTTGGCTCAAGGTTTCCTTAGAGAGTAACCAACCGTAACCAACCCAAAAAAGGGTCCCCTTATTGTAATATGGTTACTGGGCTACCAGGGAAAGAATTGAACAACGAGTCCTGGCAGCCCAGTGGTACCCTTCTGGGTTCCCTGAAAATATAAAGAAACCCACCCCAAAAGGGATACCCTGATTGTGATACGGTGACTGGGCTGCCAAGGAGTAAACCCCGGACGTTCTGTGCCCCCTCCGATTCTTGGCGGAGCTCTAGCTTCATGTGTTCGTATTGACGGTCACGTGAAGCCGGCTCCTCTGGCAGATAGCCTTACACCTGGGTGTAAATCCCATGGAAATATCCGCAGGTCTTGCGGTTTCCAAACCCTGTGCCGCGGCATCCGTGCAGAAAAATGGCGTAGGTTGCTCAGTCTCTGCACCTGGGTAGGCAGCAAGGAGTCTGACTTGCCCGCTGGGTTAGAGGGTTAGAAGGTTTCGGGTTTAGAGTGTAGGGTTTAGGGATTCAGGGTTTAGGGTTTAGGATTTAGGGTTTGGGGTTAGGGTTCAGGGTTCAGGGATTAGGATTCAGGGTTTAGGATTTAGGATTTAGGGTTGACGATCACGACATACGACTCATGTTCAAGGGGCAACTCATGAACATTGCATATGGGACAGTTTTTGGCATTGCAAGGACGGTCTTGCAGCGGTCGGTGGGGCTTGTGATTTAGGATCTAGCTAGACCAGAAGAGATGTCCCAAGTTGTCGTCCAGAACGTTATGGGCTTCGGCGTTGCTGGTTGAAGTGACCCGGGCTCCGGGAATTACCCTAAACCCTAAACCCTAAACCCTAAACCCTAAACCCTAAACCCTAAACCCTAATCTTTGCCCTGAACCCTACATTCAAATCTCCTTGGGTGCCTGCTGGCATCGCCTGCAGCAACCTCGCTGAAGCCCCAACAAAATTTCTGGACCTGCCCACCCACCAGGAGTTGTTAGGGCCTCGGGTTAGGGTTATATAGGGTTTAGGGTAACCCTAAACCTTATACCCTGAGGAACCCTAAACCCTAAACCCGCCCTAAACCCTAGACCCTAAACCCTAAACCCTAAACCCTACACCCTAAACCCTAAACCCTAAACCCTAAACCCCCCAAACCCAAACCCACGGCGCCGACCCAAGGCCCGGTCCCAGCCGTCGATGATAGATATGCCCATGTCTCCACTTGAGAGCATCACGGGCGTCGCTCGGATCTTGAATGGCGAAGTTTTGTTTCTGGTATACCCAAAAGCCCTAAACCCTAAACCCTAATCCCTAAACCCTAAGCCCTAAACCCTAAACCCTAAACCCTAAACCCCGCCATGTGTTTTCCTGTGGCAACTTCGGGTCCAAGGTCAAGATGACGGTGGCGGCGCAGGTGATTGGGTTTTCGGTCTTGGGGGGTTTTGGGTGGCTGAGGGTTTCGGGTTAGGGGTTTGGTGTTTAGGCTTTAGGGTCTACGGTCTAGGGTTTAGGGTTTAGGGTTTAGGGTCCGAAATAGGTGTTTCGGATTTGGGGTGTAATGTTGCACGCGGTTTTGTAGGGGTTAAGGGTTGAGGTTTTACGGTTTTTAAAACCCTCTATAAAGTCAAGTTGGCCGGACTATTCAGTACACCCGAACTGTTGGGGGGTGCGCGGTGGGATCCGCGATCGGGTCTGCCTCTTTAAAACTTGTATGAACTCATCTCCCTATCGAAATCATATGAAACTGTGCAACATTAGGGTTTAGGGTTTTGGGGTTCAGAGCTTGGGGTTTGGGGGTTAGGGCATGGGGTTTAGGGTTTAGGGTCTGGGGTTTCTGGGGTTCAGGGCTTGGGGCTTGGGGTTTCGGGATCGGGGCGCCGCTTGAACGAAGTGCTTGCACCCTACGAGTGGATGGCCACTCATACTTCCTGCCATAGAGGTTTAGGGTTGGGGTTTAGGGTTCAGGGTTTCGGGTTTAGGGTTTAGGGTTACTGATGGTATTCCCCTAGGGTCCCTTCATGATTGTCCTGTAATATCCCCCCCCCCAAAAAAAAACCTATTCTAATCATTCAGGCGCCTATACTACCTAAACTTCGTGGAGGCTGTAACCCTGGGTTGAGCTTCGGGAGGGTTTAGGGTTTAGGGTTTAGGGTTTAGGGTTTAGGGTTTAGGGTTTCGGGTTTAGGGTTTAGGGTTTCGGGATTTTCCTTGCTTTCCTTATATGGGAACCTATTCAGAAAGAATTGTCTATGTATCCTGCGTTTAGGGTTCTGGGTCTAGGTGGGATTGAAGCCTTTAGGTCACCAAAAGAGGAGGCATCCCTTTGATGGCGGGCCCCCTTGCTTTGCTCCCACGGACCCATCTTTTTCCCCTTCGTATACCCCACAAAACCCAAGGTTTTAAAGGCGTTTAGTCCGGTTAAGTTCGGTTGAGGTTCGAAACGGTAGGCACATGGTCCCTTAGTATGGGCCCTTGAATGATACCCCTTATAAAGTTCAAGGGCCCATACTTCAGAACCCTTTAAAGAAGATAAGAAACCATATTAAGGGACCTACCCTTAAAGAGGTCCACGACATGACTGTGCAAGAGTCCAGGTTTAGGGTTTAGGGTTTAGGGTTTGGGGTTTGGGGTTTGGGGTTTAGGGTTTAAGGTGTAGGGTTTAGGGTTTAGGGAAACCCTGAACCCTAATCCCATAAACTGCAACTGAGAGTCCCAAGTACTTGGAGGCTCAGGGTGCTAATAAAGCAGTGAGAACCGCACCTATAAGCCCAAAGTCGCCTAAGTAGGAACTGAGGGTATGAGTACCCATGAACCCTAAACCCTAAAACCTAAACCCTAAACCCTAAACCCTAAACCCTAAACCCTAAACCCTAAGCCCTAAACGCAGGCGGATCCGAATCATCGCTATCTCACAGAGACACTGGAAGGCCTGGGTGCCTTTAGGGTGTAGGGTGTAGGGTTTAGGGTTTAGGGCTTGGGGTTTAGGGCTGAAGCTTCAGCATTCCGGGTCTGGAGTTTTTAGAAGGACGAGGCATGTTCTGCTGAAACTTGCAGCGCCCGGGGGCCAGCGCCCGAGCCCAGACCCTAGGCCCTAAACCCGAAACCCTAAACCCTGAATCCTAAACCCGAAGCCCTAAACCCTAAACCCTAAGCCCTAACGCCTGGCTTGACCACCTCTCAGCCCTAGAAGCCTCCACAGGGCTGAAGAGCCTCCGCTACCGGAGCTACACTAAGCGGCCGCCCTGGTGACCTGGCGATCAGAAGGGCTTTCTTTAGGGTTTAGGATTGAGGGTTTAGGGTTGAGGGTGTAGGGATTAGGGTTCAGGGTTTGTGTAGGGCTTAGGATGAGAGGGCCCCTTTATTGCAGTCGCTTGTGCAAAACCCCGAACCTCCTCAAAACCCCATCAACTAGAGGGTGGCCCGGGTTCTTCATGAACCCCTAAACCCTAAACCCGGTTTGGGGTTCAGGGTTTAGGATTTGGGTTTGGGGTTTAGGGTTTAGGGTTTCACCTCAGCCCTGAATGCTAGACGTTACCCCCTGAACACTTCTAAACCGTAACCTCGAGCCGCGCAAACCTGCACTGTAGACCCTCAGCCCCGAACTCTGAACCCTAAACCCGAAGCCCTAAACCCTAAATCCCATACGCAAAGCTTGAAGCCCTCAAACCTGAACTCTAAACCAAGCCCTGAACCCTCGAACCTGCACGCTCAACCCTACACCCTAATCTCTAACACCCCCTAGCCCTCAGGATCTATGTACCTATATAGTATATATATATATACATATATATATATATACATACTTGGGCCCTAAAGCTAGTTTCAAGGAAGCCCTTTACAGCCCAAAATTCTACTAGATAGGTACATGGATACTTAGGGTAAGCCAAAACTCTCAACCCTAAACCCCAAACCTTCAACCCTGAACCGTTCCCCAAACCCCTAAACCCCAAACCCAAATACCCTAAACCCTAAGCCTTAAACCTTCAACCCTGGACCCATAGCCTTAAACCTCTCTTCGCCCCACCGAGGCTCGACGAAGAGGGCAATGTTGTCTGGTCCCCGATCAGGACGCTCAGGGTTTAGGGTTTAGGGTTTAGGGTTAGGGTTTAGGATTTAGGGTTTAGGGTTTAGGATTTAGGGTTAAGGGTTAAGGGTTAAGGGTTTAGGGCTCAGCCCTACCCTAAACCCTCAACAGCAAGCCAGGATACGAGTGGCCTCCATGGTGTTCAGCCAGACGTTTGAGACCGTGATGGGCATCATCATCGTGGGCAACATCGGACTCATCATGCCCCTCGATGGGTTTAACTGGGCAGTAGCTAGTTGTGTAAGAAGTTTCGGGTTTAGTGTTTAGGCTTTAGGATTTAGGGTTTAGGGTCCAAGGTCTAGGGTTTAGGTTTAGGGGGCCCCATCAGGCGCCTCGATAGGTTTAACGGGGGAGTAGAGTCAGGCTACTATTTGCATAAGAATGCAGAAGAACCCCCAAAATGTGACATGTTCTTCCTCCTAAGGTCAATATAGGGATTATTTTTCTTCAAAACATTCTTCCTTATATGGGCGTCTTAACCAAATAATCGTAGAGGCCTGCATACTTAGGTTGTTAATCCAAATTGCTGATTGGACATTCTTGGGGAAGAGAGTGGCCATGTTGTCCTAACGGCGTTGATTCCCCTGTCTGACAACCAAGCACTCAACCGGTTTGCAGTTAATCGGTTTAAGTTAGTCACCAGAAGAAACTGAGGTACACACATATAAATATATATGTATATATATCTCATAAAGAACTAGCGCTTATGTATATAGTAATGTAACGTTATTTGTGAGGGTAACTTAGTTTAGGTTTCTTAGCAACAGTCTCCTAACCAACCCCATACACCCCAACCCCTAAACCATAAACCCCTAACCCTAAATCCTAAAACTGAACCCACAGCAAGGTATGAGGCAAATCAGGACGCCAAGTGCTTTCCCGACTGGGCCGGCAGAAACATAGACTGCCCACATCGGTGCCTCGGGTCCGAGAGGTGTTTGGGATCTTGGGGTTAAGGGTTTAGGGTTTGGGGTTTGGGGTTTAGGGTTTAGGGTTTGGGGTTTGGGGTTTAGGGTTTAGGGTGTGGGGTTTAGGGCTTAGGTTTTAGGGTTTGGTTTCTGGGGGTTTGGGTTTTGGGGTTTAGGGTGTGCTGAGGGGGAACGCTGATGTGTTCCGTGATCCGGCGCTCGAGGTTTCAGGGTTGTTCCTATTATACAACCCTAAAGCCCTAATTAAACCCCTACACGCAAGTTAACGGCTTGGGGTTCTGGGCCTTCAATTGCAGAGGACCATATGACAGGGCCTGGTAGTATAAGATCTCTTTCTCTCTCTCTCTCTCTCTCTCTCTCTCTCTTTGCCCAGTTACCCGTTGGTATTGTAACCCTGAACCTGACACCCTACAACATACAGGGACCCGGCTTGGAGGTTGTAGGCGTCACCCACACCCGCAGCCCTACACCCTACACCCTAAACCCTAAACCCAGAACCTAAACCCTAAACCCTGAACCCTGAACCCTAGACCTAAACCCTAAACACTAACCCCAAAACTCTCCGCCACGTTCAGGAGCGACTCCATAGCCTGGCTCGTGTGGACCAATCTGCTCCTTCTGGTTACTTGGTTTGCAGACCCTAAACCCTAAACCCTAAACCCTAAGCCCTAAGCCCTAAACGCCAAACCCCAAACCCCAAACCCTAAACCTAAAACCGTTTTTTTGGTTCAAGGTTCCAGTAGTCATAAAGTAACCAACCCAAAAAGGGGTGCTCAATAATATGGCTACGGGGCGACTCAGATCACCTACACGGTCGAGTGCGGCATCCGCTTCTACGTCGAGCGGACGAGCTTCTTCTGCAACAAGTGGAACATGATCCTTGGCTTGCAAGCACGTCTATCGGGTCTAGGGCTTAAGGTGTGAGTTTAGGCAGGTAAGGGTTTAGGGCTAGTTAAACCCTAAGCCCTGAACCCTAAACCGTCATACACACCTTGAACCTTGGGGCTTGGTCTAGGTCCCTAAACCCTAAACCCTATACCCTAAACCCTAAACCCTAAACCCTAAGCCCTAAGCCCTAAACCCTAAACCCTAAGCCCTAAGCCCTAAACCCTAAACCCTAAACCCTAGCGACCCTAAACCCACAAAACTAGCCCCTGTACGACCCAAGGATCGACTTGGTCATCGTGATCCTCGGGTGGTCGAGCATGTTGCTGGCCTCCGTGGTCAAGCTCCTCATCCTGCACTAGGGTTTAGGGTTTAGGGTTTAGGGTTTAGGATTTAGGGTTTAGGGTTTAGGGTTTAGGGTTTGGGATGTAGTCAGTTTTTTTTTGTGTAAGAAGTTGATGGTCTAGTTCTACTGCCGCAGGATTTTGGGGCAGTGTTCTTCGGAGCTTCGGGCTTTTTCGTGACGGTGCAAGAGTTTGTGCTCTGATTTCTCCTGCTCTGAACTTTTTAGCTTGTTCATCGGGCGTTCTATCTTCGTGCACTTCGCCCTGAGCCATACACCCCAAACCCCCAAAACCCTAAACCCTAAACCCCAAACCCCAAACCCTAAACCCTAAACCCTAAACCCCTAACCCTAAAGTTATTGCTGCCAGGCTTCAGGTCAACCTCAGCCTTCTCCGGCTGAGTCGCCTAATCCGAGTTCTTCGCGCGATCCGGGTGCCATGTGCTTTGTGTGGACTTAGGGTTTAGGGTTTAGGGTTTAGGGTTTAGGGTTAGGGTTCAGGGTTCAGGGTCTAGACTCTCACTTAAACGCATTGATGCTTTAAGTGTTAGGGTTTAGGGTTTAGGCGGGGGTTGGGGGGTTGGCAAGGCTAATGCATAAACCACGGCTTTACAGGGGGGTTTACGAAAATAGGGGTCCCCCCCAGTATAGACCCCTAAATAGTAGGATTCCCTTTTAATAAGGGCCCCAATAAGCTACCCCTAATTTCGGAAACCCTAAACCCTGAACCCTAAACCCTAAGCCCTAAACCCTCCATTCCACATAGGGTTTAAGCTTGGAACCCCTTGAGTGTTCATGGTCGGCCTTGGGCTAAACCCCAAACCCCAAACCCTAAACCCTAAACCCTAAACCCTAAACCCTAAACCCTAAACCTTTAGGCCTGTAGGGTTTTAGGGTTGTCGGGTTGGGGGGTCTAAGGGCGCGATCTGGTTGAGAGGTCCTTGTAGCACCTGGGTGCTGGCAGCCTGCCAGGCTTAGGGCCTTCAAGCTTAGGGTTGAGGGCCGAAAGCTCAGAGCTTATAGGGCTTGGGGCTGGGGGTTTGGGGTTTGGGGTTTGGGGTTTAGGGTTTAGGGGTTAGGGTTTAGGGTTTAGGGTTTAGGGTCTAGGGGTTAGGGTTTAGGGTTTAGGGAGCTTGCGGGCAGGTGTTCATCTCCATACCCGAGTTCTACCTGCTCGTGACCGGCCTCTACTCTTCCATCAAGGTCCCATGGGTCGGGCAAAGTACCAAGCCACAGGTTCATGGTTTCGGTTTAGGGTTTAGGGTTGAGGGTTGAGGGTTTAGGGTTTAGGGTTACTCTTTTTGCAACCCTAAACCCACAAGCTCCCGAGTCGAGATCCCGAAGCTCCTCGTCCCACCTAACAAAAGATTCATACATAGGGTTTGGGGTTTAGGGTTTAGGGTTTTGGGTTTTGGGTTTAGGGTTTAGGGTTTAAACATAGTATAGCGGCCTGCAGGGTCGTTATAGCAGAATTACACAGGGGCCATAAGGGAGCATCATTTTCCGACTGCTATACTACGCTCCTCACTCCTCCTCCTCCTCCTAGGACTCAGGGTAGGCCCTTATTCCCCCTAAACCCTAAACCCTAAACCCTAAACCCTAAACCCTAAACCCGTTTAGTGTTTAGGTTCCCTTGCAAGCTCAGACTCAGACTGCCCTCCAAAGAAGGCCTTGGGGTTTAAGTTATTAAGGGGTCCAGGGGTGCAAGGTTTAGGGTTTAGGGTTTAGGGTTTAGGGTTTAGGGTTTAGGGTTTAGGGTTTAGGGTTTAGGGTTTAGGGTTTAGGGTTTAGGGTTCCCCCCCCCATTCTACCCTCATAAGCCCTAAAGGCTTTGTACGATTCATACGAGGGGGCGGGGGGCTACATGAAAGTGTAGCATGCAGCTGTCCAAACCCTAGACCTTAAGTAGGGCTGTAGACCGTAAGCCCTAAACCCTAAACCCTAAACCCCTAAACCCAACACCCTAAACCCTCAAGCCCCAGGCGATCCTCTTTGGCTCGATGATGCTCCTCTTTGTGATCATCTTCTGGGCCATCGTGGCGGTGGAGCTGCTCCATCCCGTCACTTGGTTTAGGGTTTAGGGTTTAGGGTTTAAGGTTTAGGGTCTAGAGCTTAGGGTTTAGGGTTTAGGATGTTGAAGTCTTCTTTGTTTTGGGGTCCACACTAGAACCTCTTCTAAACCCTTTGCACCCTTTGAAGTCTTTGCGCCCTGGTTAAGTCGCCAACACCCCTAACACCCTCGTTACAACCCTCCCTAGGCCCCCCAAACCCTAAACCCTAAGACCCCAGACCACAAACCCAAAAACCCCAAACCCTAAACCCCCTAAAGCCCCCCCAACGCCCCTCCAGACCCTAAACCCCAACCCTTAAGCCCTGAAACCTAAACCCCCAAACCTCCCCCTCTAAAGTCCCCAAACCCTCCAAACCCCACTAAAATGCACCTAAAACCCTCTAAGCCCCCGCCAAGCCCCAAACCCTGAACCATAAACTCTAAACCCTAAGCCGCCCAAACCCTAAACCCTAAACCCCAAGCCCCCAAACCCTAAACCCCAAGATGCGCCGCAGGTCATGTCGCGTTTGGAGGCCGAGTGGATCCGGCTGCACCTCGGGGAGGGGAGTTCGGCAGCACTTTGTTTTTTCCGCTTTTAGGGCGCTTGGGGTTCTAGGGTTTCGAGTTTAGGGTTTAGGGGTTGGGTTTCGGGTACAAGGGTTTTGGTCTTTGGGTCGAGGGTTCAAGTTTTTCGGGTTGTAGGTTTGAGGGCTTTTGGGGTGTTGGGGCTCCTCCTAGGCATTGCCCGGAGTGCATGTATCGATTCGCGGACGTCTTCAGCGCCGGAGTCACGCTGTTTCAGCAGATGCTTGGCAGCTTCCCGGGTCGTCCACAGTCGGGTTTTGGGTTTAGGGTTTAGGGTTTAGGGTTTAGGGTTTAGGTTTTCAGGCTTGACGGTTTAGGGCTTGGGGGGTAGTTTAGGACTGAGGGTTTGGTTTAACCGAAAGTAGACAGAAAGAGAGAGACCCCCTTTCAGACCCCACGCTCCTAGAAAGAAAGAAAGGGGGAGAGAGAGAGAGAAAGAGAGAGCGAGAGATACCTGGGAAAGGGCTTTGGGTGTGAGTCTAAGGGTAGTAGTTACATGGTCCCTAAACCCTAAACCCTAAACCCTAAACCCCTAAACCCCTAAAATATGTTCCTTACCTTCTTTGAAGTGTTCCGAAGTATGGGCCCTTGGGTTGTACAGGGTATGCAAGGGGTATAGGGGGTCCCGTTTTTCAGGGCCCATACTAAAGCACAGTGTAGCTACCCTCAGATTGAGGCCTCAGAGTCTAGTGTTCAGACTTTGAGGTTTAGGGCTCCGGGTTTCAGACTGGGAAGAGCCTTGGCTTAAGGGCTCAAAAACTTCGTAGCCCAGTGGTATTCTAGGTTCCCTTAAACAGAAACTAACCCCAAATGGGCCACCAAGAAGGCACTGAAGCTGGCACTCAGCCCCTTGAGAGTGTTGAGGGGGCTCACTGGAGTGATGAATCTTGAACCCTGCCGAGACACCGCCTTACCCATGAACCACCCCTGTTCAAGGCCTGAGGTTTAGGGTTGAGGGTTTAGGGTTTAGGGTTTAGGGTTTAGGGTAAACCCTCAAGCCCTCAAAGCCCAAGCCTGAGCTCCCTCCGGAAGTTCCGGCGTAAGTAGGGTCGAGGGGTTCTTCCGGTTTCCCAAGGTTTCGCTAAACCCTAAACCCTAAACCCTAAACCCTAAACCCTAAACCCTAAACCCTAAACCCTAAACGCTAAACCCTAAACCCTAAACCCTAAACCCTAAACCCTAAACCCTAAACCCTAAACCCTAAACCCTAAACCCTAAACCTTAAACCCTAAACCCTAAACCCAACCCTAAACCCAGGATTGTTGCTGGCGACTCATGGGGGCAGATCTCGCTGCCGCTCATTGCAGCTTGGCTGCGGACTACGTACAGTTGAGGGCTTCGTTTAGGGTTTAGGGTTTAGGGTTTAGGGTTTAGGGTTTAGGGTTTAGGGTTTAGGGTTTAGGGTTTAGGGTTATTTAGGGCTTAGGGTTCAGCATCTCTGATCCAAGCATTCACTAAGGGTGTTTGGCATCACCCCACCCACCCAGAATCCCTTTCATTTGGCAACCCTATCTACCATTTCAATTCTTATTGCTTAAGTCCCCTGAACCCTAAATCCTTCCTACTCCCGCAACGAAAACTGTTGGTTTTTTTAGTACTGAAACCGACGGTTTCGGGGCCCCTCCATTTTACCCGAAAGCACTACCGCAGCCCCAAATGGCTTTAAAAAGCCCCAAAAGGCTCAAAAAAAACCCGAAAAAGGAGGGGACCCGGGATTTGCTGCTCCCGCAAGGAAAAATGCCGTTTTTTAGTACTGAAATCGACGGTTTCGGGGCCCTCAAATAGCTTTAAAAAGCCCCAGAAGGCTTCAAAAAGCCTCAGAAAAAGGGGGGGACCCGGAATTTGCTGCTCCCGCAAGGAAAAATGCCGTTTTTTTAGTACTGAAATCGACGGTTTCGGGGTCCTTCAAATAGCTTTAAAAAGCCCCAGAAGGCTTCAAAAAGCCTCAGAAAAAGGGGGGGACCCGGAATTTGCTGCTCCCGCAAGGAAAAATGCCGTTTAGCAGTCCTGAAATCGACGGTTTCGGGGTCCTTCAAATAGCTTTAAAAAGCCCCAGAAGGCTTCAAAAAGCACCCGAAAAAGGGGGGGACCCGGGATTTGCTGCTCCCGCAAGGAAAAATGCCGTTTTTTACGTAAACACAGAAAACGAAACGGACAGCGCATCCAAAATTTAGATTTTCGGCGTCCCGGGGGGGCCCCGGGACAATGTCCTGGCAGCGTCCCGGGGCGTCCTGGGAGGCCCCCGGGACAGCTGTCCCGAAATTGTCCCGGAGGGGCCCCGGGACATTTGTCCCAGGGGGGCCCCGGGACGGGCCGGGACAATCTGTCCCGGGGGGGCCCCGGGACAAACCTGATTTAGGATTTAGGATTTAGGATTTAGGAACCACGAAAGTGCAAAATCACACGACGACCCCATTAAGGTTTAAATATATATAGGTAGAGAGGGTTTAGGGTTTAGGTTTTAGGGTTTAGGGTTTCGGGAGGTTTAGGGTTTAGGGTTAAGGGTTCAGGGTTTAGGTTTAAACCCCAAACCCCGAAAATTCTGAGCCCCAAACGCCAAACCCCAAGCCCTAGCAAGCCGTAGCAAGCCCTCGTCCCAAACCCGCAAAACCCCGAACCCCAAACAGCCCAAGTCTAAACCCTAAACCCTACACCCTAAACCCTAAACCCTAAACTTTAGCCCTGAAACCTAAACTTTATTCCTAAAGTTTCTCGGGAGGCCCTGGGGACATTCTTTTACGTTCCCTTATGGGCTTTCAGAGCATCATTCATGAATGTCTCCCTAAACCCGAAACCTTAAACCCTAAACCCTAAACCCTAAAACCTAAACGGCCATCCTAGGTTTAAGAATGAAGGATTTCAAGCCTCAAAACCTCAAGCGCCTCAAAACCTCAAGCTCTAAACATCCCAAACCCTTAAGCCTAAAAACCCTAAGCCCCAAATCCTGAAACCCTAAGACCCTAAAACCCTGAAACCCCTGAAACCCTGAAACCCCTGAAGCCCTGAAGCACTAAGCCCTAAAACCGTTTGGGGTCCAGGGTCTAGCATTTAGGGTTAGGGAAACCCTAAACCCTAAAACCCTGAAACCCTAAAACCCTGAATCCCTAAAACCCTAAAAGCCTAAAACCCTAAAACCTTAAAACCCTAGAACCCTAGAACCCTAGAACCCTAGAACCCTAGAACCCTAAAACCCTAAACCCTAAACCCTAAAACCCTAAACCCTAAACCCCTAAAGTTATGTTTTAGGGGCCCTAAACCCCTAAAACCTCCAGAGGCCGAAAACCCATGGATCGCGGTGATGCTCTTCATCATTATGCTCCCCAGCTTCAGCTTGTCTAAGTTAGGGCGGTTAGGGTTTAGGGTTTAGGGTTTAGGGTTTAGGGTTTAGGGTTTAGGGTTTAGGGTCTAGGGTTTAGGGTTTAGGGTTTAGGGTTTAGGGTTTAGGGTTTAAGGGGGTGGGTTTAGGCGGTTTAGGGTATAAGGTGTCGGGTGAGGGCTTTTGCTGGTTTCCCGCGCCTAAGCCCTCACCATCTCTCCGGGCCCGAAACCCGGCGCCCTAAACGCCAAAATCCTTCCAACAGCGGAGGATGACGATCTCGTTGGGCGTCATGAACCTGATCCTGGCAGAACCTATGCCGCACTGGGGGATGGGGGGGGGGGGAGTAAGGCCCCGTGCATTCAAGTTCAGCCCTAAACTCTGAAGCCCTACATTGCCTGCAGCAATTCAAGCCAACCCTAAACCCTAAACCCTAAACCCTGAACCCTAAATAAGCTTTAGGGTTTAGGGTTTAGGGTCTAGAGTTTAGGGTTTAGGGTTTAGGGTTTAGGGTTTAGGGTGCTGGCCAAAAGCTGAGCCTCAAAGCGTTCGGGGTTCCTCACCAAAGCGAATCTTTTCGGATTCTCCCGGTGCCCGGATGCTGCAAACCCTAAACCTTAAACCCTAAACCCTAAACCCTAAACTCCTCTTCCGAGTACTTGGGAGGGCCCGGGCCATCCTCAAAATCCCTCTGCACCTGCGCAGTCAGTGAAGTTGCGGTAGAGGTTTAGGGTTTAGGTTTTAGGTTTAGGGTTTAGGGTTTAGGGTTTGAGTGGTAAAGGGGTTTGAGGGTTCCAGGGGTTTAGGGTTTGAGGGTTTAGGGTTTGAGGGTTTGAGGGTTTAGGGTTTTAGGATTTAGGGTTTTAGGGTTTGGGGTTTAGGGTTTTACGGTTTCGGTTTAGGATTTTGGGTGCAAGGCTTAGGGTTCATGCGGTTTAGCTTTGCCCAAAACGTCGCTGCAGCCCAGGTCATCGTGGAAAGAGCTACCGAAGCGAGAGAAAATGATCATGAGCAGAGGTGACGGCCCCCCTGAAGCCTTCTGCCAGTAGCCTAAGACCTGAAACCCGGAAACCGTGAAACCCTGAAACCCTGAAACCCTGAAACCCGAAACCCTCAACTCCATTCCCGCTCCGCCTCGTTGGCACGCAAGTTGATGGCCAGGGTCAAGCAGAAGGCGCAGGAACGCGCCAAGAACATGGTGGAGCTGGCTGTTCTCTGCGCGAACTTGGATAAGGCCTATGGGTTTGGGGTTCAGGGTTCAGGGTTCAGGGTTTAGGGTTTAGGGTTTGGGGTTTAGGGTTTAGGGTTTAGACTTTGAGTGGACTAAAGTAGGCGAATGAAGATACCAGACTCCTTCTGGGAAGCTTCGGGTGAGGACCAAAGCGGCACGGTGTCGTTGGAGGAGATGCAGAGCGGATACGATCATGATACTTGGCCGCCGCTCCCACTCGGAGGTTCAGGGTACTTATAACCCCAATAATAAGTGTACTTGAAAGTCCTCTAAGTCTATGTTTAATTGTGGCTATAAGTACCCATGGACCTCCAAGCAAGCCCCAACCTCTGTTAGACTTGGGTTGCAATTTAGCGTTTTCTCATCCTATCTCATATAGGGATTCGCTTTTCATACCCCAAATGGAATGGAATCCCTTAAAGGGCCCCTCCACACCCCCCCCCCCCCCCCCCCCCCCCCCCCCCCCCCCCCCCCCCCCGCCCCCTGAAAAACAAAAGGTAGCCTGATTTTTGGAAACCCCCACATCTATCAGTGAAGCCAAAATCATGTTCGTGAGATTAGGGGGTTTCCGAAATTAGGGGTCCTCTATTGGGGTCCATATTATAAGGGAATCCTACTATTTCCTACTATTTGGGGGGGATGATTATAGAGGTCCCAAATTTTCGTAAACCCCCATTGCCCAAGGACAAGGATTTCAAGAAGCTCATGGACCAGATGGACATCAAGAGGGATGAGCAGCTACACTCAACTTGGTATCCTCTTGTTTGCTCTGAAGCACTACACCCCAAAGCCTTACCCTTAAGCCCTCCCAAACCGCGAGAAACTGGTACACTGAAGCAGATGAATCTTAAGGTTTAGGGAGCATCCCCGAACCCTCAACCCCAACCCCTCAAGTGAACCTCCAACCCTATAGTACAAAATCCCATGCTTGGGAGGATGGAAGTGATATTCAACGTGCTGGATTCAGACAACAGCGGCCATCTATCCTACTTGGAGCCTGCGCTGAATGTCCTCGAAAGCCTAAGCCCTGAACAGGATGCGGGTTGCACTTCTTTTATGGCCTTCAGTTTGGGTTTAGTGTTTGCGTTTTGGGTTTAGGGTTTAGGGTTTAGTAGGGTTAACCTCTCGAAGCCCTACTGCCCCGAACACATAAGATGCCTCTGCCGCAATGTCCTCAACCCTGCCATAAGTCTGGAGAGTGAGGACATCATGCACTTTAAGTTGCTAATCATACTGATCATCAGTTCTTCTTGGCATGGTCGCTGTTGTTCATGTTCATGATTACGTTACCTTGGTTTTATTTCGGCCCTCCCGGTCGGTACGTCCTGGTGTAGTTGACGGTGCCCTTCACAGCATCGCGCCCCCCTGCACGGGGGCCCCACCATGAAGGGTCCAGGGTGAAGGGCTTAGGGTTTCGGGCTTGGCTGGGCTCAGAGTGTATAGTTCATAGGCGGGTTTAGGGGCTTGGGGTTTAGGGTTTGGGGCTTCGGGCTTTTTGCTTCGGGCTTGGGGCCGTTTAGGCTACTGCAACGTTGGACCCTAAACGCTAAACCCTAAACCCTAAACCCTAAACCCTAAACCCTAAACCCTAAACTGTAAGCCATGAACCCCATGGACCCCGAGCCCATGCCCCAGCTCTCTTCTTGGTAGCCCAGTGGTACCCTTTGACCTTTTTTTGGTTCTGGGGTCCCTTATTTGAATAAAGAAACCAACCAGAAGAAGAGTGCCCTTGTGATAATCTACTATTTGCTTAAGAACCCCAAAAGAATCAAAAACCAAAAATAATCCCCATATTACCCTTAATAAGGAAGACTTCTTTAGATTTTTCGGTGCTCTTAAGCAATTAGTAGTAATATGGTTACTGGGCTACTAAGCTTGACAGCCCTAAACCCCTAAACCCCTCAACCTAAACCCCTAAACCGGCCGAGGAGTTTTGCAAGAACCTGGGAAGCTTCTTGGTGGCCCAGTGGTGCTCCTTTGCCCCTTTTTGTGGTTCAAGGTTCCCTAGAACAAGTAGCCCTAAACCCTAAACCCTAAACCCTAAACCCTAGTAGTGGCTGCCGGGCTACCAAGGCTTCTTCAAGCGGGATCCCGTGATCATGCACTCCTTAATCCAATGCTCTGTCATGGATGTGAAGAAAGTGATCCAGACGGAAGTGGCTGCTTGGACCTGCAGATTGCTAGACCCTAAACCCTAAAGCCTAAACCCGTCGAATTGGAGCCTTCTGATATGGAAGCGACTTTGGATCAGGTTGGAGGGCTTCTCCCGGTGGCAAAAACCGACGCCAACACTGTCCTCAACCCCCGTGCTCTGAGTTTCGGGTTTAGCCGATTTCTAGGGCTTAGGGCTTAGGGTTTAGGGTTTAGGGTATAGGGTTTTTGGTTTAGGGTTTAGGGTTTAGCCGATTTAGGGCATAAGGTTCGCTAGATTGGGGACTTTGGGGACTCGGGGGGCTGTGAGTGGGGGGGGGGGGGGGGGGTATGGGGTTTTTGGTGATGCATCTGAGCAGAAGGTGGCTCTTGGGTTCAGGGTTCAGGATTCAGGGTTAGGGTTTAGGATTTAGGGTTTCGGGTTTAGGGTTTAGGGTCTAGGGTTGTAGGGCTTTGGCATGTTCAAGAAATTCCCCACCAGGCGCGCGTTTTCAGGTTTCCAATGCAGGCCCCGACCATACGGCCTCAGACACGACCCCCGAAAAGGCCCTGAACGTACCTTTAGGGTTAGGGGTTTAGGGTTTAGGACTCTAGGGGTTTAGGGGTTTAGGGGTTTAGGGGTCTAGGGGTCTAGGGGTCGAAGGGTCTAGGGGTCTAGGGGTCTAGGGGTCTAGGAGTCTAGGAGTTTAGGGTTTTGGGTTTAGGGTTTAGGGTTTAGGGCTTGCTAACCCAATGTACAGCTTGTGGGCTTGCATGCCTGCGCAGGTTGATGTCTTGCTTTTTTGTTGGGAGGAACCGTCCCCGAACCGCGAAGCCCCTAAGCCCTAGAAACCCTAGACCCTAACCCTCGCTAACCCTGAGCCCTTCAACCCTAAAACCACAAACCCTACCCCTAAACCCAAAACCCAAAACCCAAAACCCTAAACCCTAAACCCTAAACCCTAAACCCTAAACCCTAAACCCTAAACCCTAAACCCTAAACCCTAAACCCTAAACCCTAAACCCTAAACCTAAACCCTAAACCCTCAACCCTAAACCCTAAACGCTAAACCCTAAAGCCCTAGTCCATTCAGCACGAGGTTGCTGTCATGAAGGAGCAGCACGCCGAAATCATGCGGGAGCAGCGGAAGCTGCTAGCCGCTGCCAGGACTTTTCCAGGCACTCAAGGGGGTTTAGGGTTTAGGGTTTAAAAGGTTTAAAGGGTTTCGAGTTTAGGGTTTAGGGTTTAGGGTTAGTATGTCGCAGTTTTGGGCATCAGGGTTTCAGGGCTATAGGGTTTAGGGCTTCAATCTCGAGCTTAGGTCTTCGTCCTAGAACTGCGAAGGCTAAGTCCCTCAATCCCAACGCGGAAACCTTAGATCTAAGCCCAGAACCTGTAGTCTCAGTCCCGGTACTCCTATAACCCGGTAGGCCCTTGGGACATGCTACATTTTCCTTTTTGGGTTTAAGAGGACCAGATTCAGGGCTTATTATAGGGTTTAGGGTTTTATAGGGTTTAGGGGCCGGTAGGATTTCTGAATTGTAGTCTACAGTTGCCGACCGACCAGCAGCACGAGGTGCAGCGAGCTTCGCTGCAGACCGATTTCCAACGGAAATCCCTACGGGGTGAGGTAGCCCAGCACCCCACGTGTCCCAAGTAACGCAAGTTGCCAAATCTTGTGACCAAGTGACCCCAACGTCCCAAGTGACTCATGCGTTCCCCTAAACCCTGAACCCTAAACCCTAAACCCTGAACTCTAAAACCCTGAACCCTAAACCCTGAACCCTGAACCCTGAACCCTAAACCCTAAACCCTAAACCCTAAACCCTAAACCCTAAACCCTAAACCCTAAACCCTAAACCCTAAACCCTAAACCCTAAACCCTAAACCCTAGCCCTAAACCCTGAACCCTGAACCCTAAACCCTAAACCCTAAACCCTAAACCCTAAACCCTAAACCCCCTAAACCCCCTAAACCCTAAACCCCCCTGGCAGTGACCCGCGTGTCCCAAGTGACCAAGTAGATGTGACCGAGCATGCCTAGTGTCTCATGAGTCCCAAGTGGGGGGTTTACGGTACTAGGGGTACCTGAGTGGGGGGTTTAGGGTTTAGGGTTTAGGGTTGAGGGTTGAGGGTTGAGGGTTGAGGGTTTGGGGGTACCTTGTTGGGGTCATGGTAAGGGAATCCTACTATTTTGGGGGGTCTAATTTAGGGGTCCCCTATGTTCGTAAACTCCCAAGTGACGCAAGCGTCGTCGCCCACGTGTCCCAAGCGTCTTAAGCTCGCAGCACTGGACACCTCATGGCAGGTTCGAGCAAAAGCTTCTCGCCAAAATTATCTTGCATCAAGGGCACATGTTGATTTGTAAGAAAATGAAGGCCTTGACTCCATGAGAGTTGTAAGTGGGCGCTCTTGGGGCGGGCAAGTCTGGGGACTCATTCGCGCTTACAAAGCGCGCTTCCGTTAGGGCACGCCCTAAATCCTAAACGCTACACGGGGATTTCCGAAATAGGGGCACCACTTCTACACCCCAAAATACTACCTAATCCTTCTAAAGGAACCCCCAAAAGGGTACCCCTATTTTCGGAAACGCCCACATGTTTCAAACCATGATGAATCCCCAAACCTTACACTCCGGGGAGGTACCAAGGGAACAGGGAGCTGTGGGGATCGTCCATAGAACCCTAGCATCCTAAAACCCCTTAAATCCCGACGCTAAACCCTAAACCCTAAAACCCTAAACCCTAAACCCTAAACCCTAAACCCTAAACCCTAAACCCTAAACCCTAAACCCTCACAAACGAACAACCAGGGGGCGGCGGATCCGTGTCGGTACCTTCACCGGAGCTCCCGGAGATGGTCATCAGGCTCCCAGGGGTTTAGGGTTTGGGGTTTGGGGTTTAGGGTTTAGGGTTTAGGGTTTAGGGTTTAGGGTTTGGGGTTTGGGGTTTAGGATTTATGGGGTCTAGGGTGTAGGGTTTATAGGGTTTATAGGGTTTATAGGGTTTATAGGGTTTATAGGGTTTATAGGGTTTATAGGGTTTATAGGGTTTATAGGGTTTATAGGGTTTATAGGGTTTATAGGGTTTATAGGGTTTATAGGGTTTGGGTTTAGGGTTTAGGGTGTTTAGGGCTCCGGGTTTAGCATTTCGGGGTTTGCAAGCAGCGGCCCCCAGTATCACATGTAAGGTCAGAAGGGCCCTAAAGGGTTAGGGTTAGGGTCTCAGGGTTCCAGCTGGTTCTGATATGTTTGGGTTTGGGTTTGGGGTTTAGGGTTTAAGGTTTTTTGGGTTTGGGGTTTAGGGTTATGTGGGACGGGAGTGGGGAGGGTCCGAGGTATTGAGGGGCTGTGGGAGCCGGAGCACGAGGACCCCAAAACCCTAAACACAACCCTTTCCCTAAACAACCGTGATAAAGCTTAAAAACACCGTAAGATGCCTCAATAAACCTCTAAAACCTCAACAAACCTTACCACCTTAACACAACTGAATAGCTGCCGCTCAGGCTGTCAAGCCTTTACGCCTTGAAACCTCGAAGCCTTAACGAAACACTGAAAGGTCAGGGTTTAGGGCTTAGGCTTAGGGTGGCTTAGGGCTTGGGGCTT